TTTATTCGAAGGTGCTTATACTGCCGTGTTTATTTTATTAAAATTTCAGAAACAGCTGGCTGGAAAACTCTAAAAGTTCTAAAAAAACTAGTGAACGTCTTCAAAGGAAGGATTTATTAACATACCCAATATTAAAAGTGCACTAAAAACTAACCAAAATTTTGAGAACTGGTTTATAAATTAACTGATCTTCCTCCAAAAAGTTTCATAGTGATGGGCTACGCAAGCTATCATTCCGCCCTTTGGATGGTTAAAAATTGTAACAATGAAAATGCTATTGAAATGTTATGGTCTGAGTGTAACAGGAAATATGACCAATGTATTACTAGTATCAACGGTATGTACGTTTTTTAAGAATCTCTGCTTTAAGACAACGACATCTACAGAAAGCAGATGAACTCAGAATTTCAGCTGATACTGTTTATTGACACCTAGCTGAATCTGATATGAGACCAAGGAACCTAGTGCGAGCACCAGCTTTGAATCAAGAGCAATGTAGAATTTTGCTAGAAAACATATAGATAGGACCGATAAAGATTGGGAAAGTTCTTTGGTCAGATGAAAACAGATTTTGTTTCTATAACTCAGATAGACCAAATGAAAGATGTGCCCAATGTACCTTCCAAAACACCAGATAAAATGCTCGGTCTGACTTGGTAGTTATTAATAAGGACAGTTTAACACCAGATATGTGCATAATGGAGATCCTGCAAGAACATATGATACCATTGGGATTTTACATTGATGAGAATTTTTTGTTTCAGCGAGATAGTGCTCGACGGCATGTTGCTCAAATTGTGCAAAATTATCTTAATGATGTTGGAACCCAATTTTTGTTTTTTCTTTTTATTATTGTTTTCTTGTCTTCTCTTACAATTTTATCTTTTGTTGTACTTAATTAAGACGTGAAAATGTGTTAATTTTGCTGGTCAATCAGCTTTATGTAAATCCAACCGTAGTTGCTATTGGTTGTTCGGAAATGAATTAAAAGCGATTTTAAAAAATAAAAAAATGTCGAATTAACCTACGGTTTCAGTTGTCGCATTTGTATAAAAAAAAACGAGTACTTTTTCTATGATGGCGAAGACTAGACATACACTTACTAGTGGTATTTTTGTCACATAGTAAATAATTTTCCCCCCTGTTGACTGACCCGGACCGCGATAAAACGCAAAACGTAGTGGTTGACGACGAGATTCAAGATAACGTCAGGGAAGCCAACGTTTCAATGAAACGTGTGAACTTTAGTCCTATCGCCCGGGTGATTCCTTTCGAGGATCGAAAGGATCTGATTAAAATTTCCGAACAGTGTTTCAAGCTAGACGAATCGAACCCTGTCAATTTGAAAATATCGGTTTATCCCAAGCCGAGTACGGAGGAATCGAAACAGGTAAAGTAAGTGACAAAGTCAGCAGTGCACTGCCTGGAGGAATCTAGTCTCATCCAATGTACATTCAATGTTTTAAGTTTTAACAAATTGTAAGAATTGCCTGAATTTATCCTGTAAACGGTCTCACGGAAAGTTTTGGTCTAAACATTTTGTGAGGGTTCGAAAACATCTGCATTGGAAGAAGGCATGTCTTTTAAAATTGACCTCGGAGTCCTCCATACTTAACACCACTAGACTTCTTTTTATGGGAATACATAACAGGAGTTGTATCTCACACACTTACAACCATACCAGATAATATGAAAAAGAGTACTATAGGCGCTGTTAACAATGCAAGGCCGAAAATGTTGTCCAGAGTTGGCAATAACTTCAAGGAAAAGGTTTAAATGTGGCAGAGAAAGTCATCAAACATCTAAACTCACATACAATCCCATAAATTGACTTTATTGTAAAACCAGACCAAACAAACAACTTGTGGCCCCTAAAAGTTTTAGTTAGGTTTGAATAAATTTTTGACCACTGTAAGATGGAAGTCTTTTGTAATTGACAATATGATATCTGCTCTAAATTTGCACTCTACTATATATTTGGGTTACATATCTTATATAGCTTTGATACTTTTCTCCAATTTCAGACAACCTTTTACCATGATAGGAATCTACACATCCGAAATATAAAACTTCTAAAACTGACGATAGGAATACAATATATCATACATCATTGCTCTCATTTTTTATTAAGCATAATATAAAAAACACATTATACATAACTTAAATTATTTACTAACTATCCAAATCCCTATGAAGTATCAAGTTGTTAAAATCCAAGGAGTCTCTTTTAATGTCGGTATGGTATTGTAGGTTCTGTTCTTTTTGAGCGAAATTTAAATGGAATTAGATTCTTCAAAACGAAATTGAACCGCGTTCTGATTAGTTTCGAATCCCTGCGTATTAGTTGAGTAAGTTTTGACGTAGAATTCCCCTTTACTAAAGACCCTATTCCTGAAACTCCCAACATTATATTAGTTATATTAAAATCCGGAAATCTGGAATCAAAACTTGCCATCTGAATTGAAAAACACTTTTATGGAACATTTTTTTTTTGTAGCGGTTAAATTTATGAACCAATGCGCTACTTTGATGATGCTTTTGTTATGTGGCCTCATGGTCAAGAATCTTTAAGAGATTTTCTTAATCTTTATACAGTCTAACACAATTCCGATCTTGCATTCTTCCATTCTTATTAAGTGAAAATAGATAAGACTTAAGAATACGCAGCTCTTGTGACAAATTCGGATATTCATCAGTTGTGCAAGAAGATGCAGCCCTTCAGTGATGAGGATGCGACTCTTATAGACAATTAGACAGCAGTCAGGAGTCAGACAGTGGTTCTATTCAGCAGAGTCAAATACTAGAATTTGTTGGACATTAACTTACATTTTAACCTATCTTGGAAGAATCATATCAAATCAGTTATTAACAAAATGAATAAGTACTCTTTTATGTTGTTGAAAGAGAAATTCTGTAAATAGGAAGGTTGCGGTATCCTTTTGTTATGCACACACTAGCTTATGGTATTATCGTTAGAGAGCCAAAAATGCTTATTGTAATTTCATTATATATTGTGCCACTTATATAAGAAAAAATTTGCCGACCTTGTCAGGCTCTATTAGACTTATTATTAATGAAAACAAGTTTTCAAAAACTCAATGACTAACACAGTCAAAGGCCTTGGAGAGGTCACAGCCCTCAACTATGTCAGGCATTATTGAAAATAAGGCTTCATGGTAGAACGCCCTTTGCTAAACCCATACTGATTTGGTTAGACTCGAAGTAATGAGACATTTGAGAATGCATAATTTTTTCCAAAACTTTGGAAATACCTGTTTTGTGTATTGGCAGAACTTTCGATAATTTAAAAAATTCTAGATCTAATGCAGAAAGAAAGTACCCTTTTATTATGCTTGTCAATCGTAAAATTATTACATTGAAGCACTCTTTAATGATGCTACTATTCAAACAACATCTGTCGAGAACGTCTGAATTATCAAAGGACAGAACCCTCTGGATCTCAATGGCTAGGCAAAATTTATGTTATGTCGTAGACCTTTTGACAAATCATTTGTGCCTTTCTTGGATGCCAATATTGTTGTAAATTTGATTAAATAAATAAATATAAACTCATCAGCAGGTGCCCATCAACCATAATAATCAGCTGAGAGAAGCTCAGAGATAGTTTATAATTTCAACATATCATTAAATTAAAATAATTTAAAAAAATCAGAATTCTCTTCCAATATGGATTGGATGGATTGACACTTTTTCACACCCTTCGTACCTGTTGGCAGAATTTTTCATGAAAGCTTGACAAATTCTGGTTACATTTTAGCCTGTCGAATATAATGGAAAACAAAATCTGATTGACGGATATTTCTACGACAGCTTTAATGCTAAATAAGTCTTGAGAAAGCTGCCTCTATCGTCGGTTTTATCTGGTAAATAGTACAATGGAAACGAGCCAGATAGCGTACGCGACCGACATTGGATTAAATTCAGGACCCTCTCTCTCTCTCTCTCTCATTTCGCATACACATTGTAGCGACGCAGAATTCGTTTGCAGCGGCATGGAAACTTCATTCGATGTAAAATTGAACGACTACTTTTTATTTTATTTCCTTTTTCGACTCGGACGCGAAGGATGCCCGAAATCTGCTGCCAAACTCTACTCGATTTTATTCGCAGAAAGGCCCTTGTATCGGAGATTGTATTTTAATGATGTATGGGTCATTTATCACAGTGGGTTAGTAAAAATTACCGGAAAGCTTAAATGTCCCTAAAACTGCCAAAGCCGGCACGTTGAAATCGTTTTTGGACCCGCAGAATTCAAAAATGCTAACAGTAATGTTAGTAACAACTGTATTCCAACACATTGATATACTCCAAAACTTTTCTATGTTCAAAAACCTCCAAAATTATGAGATGTTAGGAATTTTGTTATTAACTGTATTAACTGGTTTCTCTCACACTTCATTTAAACTTGGGACCATAGGCACAACTTAGAGCGTGTGTAAAACCAATCTGGCTAAAACACCAACGATAAAACAAGGATAGGTGAAAAAATAAAGACTACAGAATAATAATTGTGTTGCCAGTAATACATTATTCAATTTTTAAAATGGGCCCCATTATTTGCCAAACAGTACCCATATCTTGTATTATAAGTGCAGCAACATTCAGGACGATCTTTCAATTGACCTCTCTAAGAACTGATGATTCACAGGGGGTTTATGGTGGATCCAGGTATGGAAATCAGAACTCATCTTCTGCTAAAAGTTTTCTTTCCCAGAGCAGGGTATCGTTAGCTGTTTTTGCAGGCAATTGATTCTACCTCATTCCACAAAAATCTCTTAAATTCATCAGACAGAATCTCTTTTTCCCCATAATTGACAATTCCATGTTCTGTGGAAACCTCTCTTTGAGGCCTCTCATCAAATGGTTCATCAGTTCGAAAAATCTGTGTCATCTTTTCTAAGTTTAGAGTTTGTGAAAACGCCAGAGACAAACGTAAACGCGGACGTAGAAACAAATAAAGACTCATAAAATCGTTTCAGGGCCAGTTGCGAGGTTATCCCCTACCTTCGAACGCGATGCTCTTCGATGACGATCCCGGAATCATGTCAGAAGTGGAGACAAGCTCGACGGGGTTCCGCAGAGGAGGAAAACAAAGGAGTTCGCTCCCCGTGGTGAGAACTCCCAGCAAAACTTTGGAACGACCTCTAGGTTCGTTATTATCCTACTAAAATTTAATATTATCTTTCAGATATTAGTTGAAGGATATAAAATATTCATTCAATTGCACTACATAATTTCCAGGATTGGTATTTCTTCAATATCGTAATGAAACTAAACGAGCGCTTCTGCCAAACGAGATTACGTCTATCGACACCGTCAAAGCACTCTTCGTGAGGTCGTTCCCGAAACAATTGACAATGGAATATCTGGATTCGCCGAACGTTAAGATCTACATCCACGACTCGTCAAAGGATATGTTCTACGAGTTGGAAGATTTGAGGTAAGCGATGTGGAAGTATTAGGTGGTTACTATTTGTGAGATTTTGATTTTGAGATCTGTTGCCTCACCTAAGCTTATTGCGTGACCTACTTGAATTTCTTTATTTGATACTAAGCCTTTTTTCTGGGTTGACTTTTTGACTTTTTTCTTATAAAATCGAAAATGTTTTGAAAAGAATTTGAAAACTAAGCCTTGAAACAGAATTAATAGGTTTGCTACTTTGTTTTCAGTTTGACTTTCAGAATCAGATTGGAAAATGCGTAATTTCAATTTGACTTTCGATTTTGTGGTGCTATTAAACACCCTTGGTGGTTTTTGGTTTTGAAATTTTGAGAAACGGAAACAAGCGTGATCAGTTTTGAGGACGCCGAAAAACTTCTCCCATTTGGTGATTTTTTCAAAGGTCGCACCTGCGTGAGATTAGAGATCGTTCCGTCCTCCGACTCTTCGAATCTGCTGACGTTTCGGGCGGTCTGCCGATGGCGGGGATCGGGATCGCAGGCGGAGTCGGCCATTTTGAAGATCCCAGTTACTTTTCCGAACCCGAATTTGACTCGGAGTACCAACACCAACACATCCATAAGAGCAAGGTGAGTCTTTTTATTCATATTCTTGGCGACGATTAGAGAAGAATGATTTAAGTAGCTGTACCTCCTGAGTGTCCTCTAGAATTTTGTGATGTTTCATATCCTTCACAACTGAAAACTGGAAATTGATGATAAATTCGACAGGGTGTGAGTAATAATCTCGCCTTGAAATGTGATGCATCCTGTTTAGAGAAGACAAGTTTTGCAGCACTCCATTAGATACTTAAGCGTTTGAGGTGACAGTACACAAGGTCTTGTTGAGTTTGTTTAAAAAGTCCAACAAACCTCAGGCTTCCTCAGGTTAATAATGATGGATAGGTTAGTTATTCGTGTGTTAGGAAATACTAATCTAGTTGAAATGTGATTGTGAGATAGCAAAGTCAATGAAATTCCAAAAAATCATTTTCTGTTTCAGAAGAAACTGATGGATAAATTCAAAATTGCTATTTACAAATCTTCTGAATTCCTTCTGCTTAGATTGTTGATGATTTCCACTTGCTGACGTTTCCCTGTTGGCTTCTTCAGAACTTAACTGAAACTGGTTTGCATTCTGCTCTGTCTCTGCTTATATAGTGATTAGATGCAACAATTAAAGTTTGGTCGAATAAGATTTGTTGTCCGGTTTCATAGTTATGTTTGACAACTGCTGATCAGTTTATTTGTCGTAGTCTATATTTTTCGTCCTGTTTCTCCAATTTATTCTTTGCGCATATACATGGAAACTCTTGATGTCTCGACCTGGTTTTAATATTATATTTCTTAAGAAATTTTGATATGGGTTCAATTATTTTTTGAATGTATAGAAGTACTATAGCGTGGGATTGCTTTCGGACTCCTTTTTTTTAATGTGGTGAGGAAGTGTATTTTTTTATTGGAGCGCTCAATATCTCTAATGTGGGTATTATTCGAGAGAGGAGTAGATATGATTCTGGTTCCAGTGATAACTGATGACTTTTGGGCCGAATGTTAATGTGACAATGGTGTGCCAGATTTATCACTTTCACTATCACTTTCAAAAATCTCTCAACATGGATCCAATAAAGACAAATCAGCTTTGAGGCACAGGAAGTTTACAACATTCGATTCCAGAATACATTGAAGCGACAGAACATTCAGACTACGACAAATAACCCCATCAGCAATTGCAGAACACAAACTATCTTAATCGTGACTCAAATTTTCACCTTTCACCAATGTTCACATTTTTTATATTGTTCTACCCACTCAAACAGTCTATAAGCGGATACAAAATAGAATATAGTATGATGAGACGGTGCAACGTGATCAACTACCGACGTAAGAGGAATCCAGAAGATTTGTGAATAGCATGAAAATAGACTAGGGAAGCTTCCTTGAAGGATTTAATATTTACCTGAAGACCACTTACTTACTTAACCAGTTGAAATATGTAGTATAGTTAGACCAGAAATATAGTGCTTTTACAACCGATCCCGTGATTAACTCTGCCTGCTCTTTATTACTCCAGAACCGCAGCCCCTTATAGAACACATTCCAAGACCGTCCTAGGAATTTATCTACCTACGCTAACAAGCGCGATGTAAGTAAGTTTTTGATCTTTCAATTGAAACAATTCTTGAAACCTGTACCTAAAAAAAATAGTACAAAGCAACAATTTATTACGGTCTATTTCATTACATTGTTACATAGTATCATTATTAATATACAAAATATTAAATGCAATAATAATAAAGTATTCAGTCATTCAGTCATTTAAAAAATCGTCACTATCGCTACTGTCGTCACATAGTTCAATGAGCAACTCCGCCACTAATCGTTCTCGATAAATATTTTCTTCTTTTATTACCCGTTTTTCACACTTAAACCAGCTTTGTACTGATATTTTAGCTACCTCTTACCGAATTACGTTTGGTACTATCATGAAATTTTGGTTATTTCTTGTTATATGCACATTCAACTGAGACCAAATCATGTCATTCGGGTTTTATTTTATAGTCTTATATGAAATGTTTTATTTTTAATAATAGCAGAAGTTGTTTTTTCCTTGAAAATTTAAATAACTTTCGTACCGAAATTCTTTAATTTCTTCTTTATTTCAAGAGGGATTTGTAATTTTTCTAATTTGGGCTGAATGATACGAGGCATTATCTAACACAATAACAGTATTTGGCGATAGTTTTGGCAACAGCTTATTTTCAAACCAGTCTTCAAATATTTCCGTGGTCATGGTAATCCACACTTGAATCTCTGACGTTTGACGCAACTATTTTTGGACTCGACATGATGAATTATTATGCGTTTTCCACGTGAAGGCGGCAAGTCTAGTACTACACACTTATTACTGTTATCGCCATCCTTTTTTTACAGTGTCATGAGTGTCGAACTATTGGCCTATTTTGCTCTCAAAATGTTTCTATTGCATTTAAATAGTCCACAGTCCAATGCGAAGTTCTTCGAGATTAAATTTACACTTGACGTTTATTCATTGTTTGGAACTGAAAGTCCATTTTCTTCAAAAAAGTACGCAACGACTATTTGACACAAGTCTGTCAGTACTTTTTTATGCAAATCTTTTAGGGTTAAAACATTATGCACTTTATAAGCGCCGTAGATTATACGCCTAATTAGATCTGCGTGTTGCTCTTTAAACACTCTCGAAGTACCATCATCTTTTCCCACTTTCCTCTTCGGGACTTAGGTCATGTCATTTGTTCTTATTGCTGCTCGTAATTCCCCTTCTAAGTTTCTTATAAAAGTGTTAACATTCAAAACAATTTGTTTAGCATCCGAAGAGAAATGAATCCGTTTTTTATTTTCTGAGCTAGTTCATCTCCTAAATTTTCATTAGGTTACACTACCATATCCACTTCGTCTTCAAATCCTGCTTTGTTTTCCGTGTTAAAAAACAACCTTCAAAAAATGTTTAATTGCAAGATTCTAATAAATATTCATTGATTGATTTATTGATTATAGATTGTTGTTGTTTACAAATCTAAGAAATATGTAGACACAAAAATATAAGAAGAATGTTGTTAATCGACAGGCACACAAGACAAAACGATTATTTTCAAACTTACCTGTAAAATAGAGTACAGGTACTTACCCTTACCCTTTGAACTATCCAGTGAAAACAGCCTCGCAGTCATCACAGTCAAATATACGAACATATTGCAATTTAGATTAAACCCTTAAGAACGATACATGTCACCTGATGTTAAAATAAATGCTTAGAAAATATCCCGCAGCATCAATGCTTAATCAAATTTAAAACGGTCCATTTACGTTTCAAATAAAATTTCAGGTTTCTCCAAATATTCTCAGGTAAAACCTACTTAATGCAGAATAAACATGTGTTGGGATAGGTTTTACCACGGTCCTGCGAAAGTCTGCGGTTAAGGTACTGTAAAATACTTAAAACGTGAAAGCAATAAATGCACTATGTTTTTGGTGGTATTATAAAAAATAGGGTACGTTCAATAAACACCTTTTATGCCACTTTTCCCGCGCATTGTCGCATATAAATACACCAGCGCGCTGAGAGAGAAGTCTCCAACGGAAATGACAATCACCCAATTCTCCGGTTGTCAGGAAATGGTGTTCTTATCGTAATATTGCCGTCGGGTAGACTGCGATTCATTTGCATAATGCCCTGCTCTCGTCAGACGGAATACGCGGCAAAGGTGCATTCGGCCAAATGTGAAGTTATGAGTCGCCTCATAATTTCTCCTGGATGGACAGTAATCCCGACTGGATATATGAGTCGTACGCTACCGAGATCGCGGGCTTAAGGATATCCTTAAAATTTTCCGGAGCGGCCAAATTGCGCCATGAATTATATATAATATCGAGTCATAATTTTCTCCTAATAAAAATGGCTTCTAATTCCGCTACGCGTCATGGGAGTAAATTGCGGTTTTTGGGAAAAATAGCGACGCTAATTATGTTCCACTTATATATAAAACAAAATAAATACAAGCAGGTAATTCTAAATACACACCTAAAGTAGTATTAATTTAAAATATACAGGGATGGGGGCGTGGCAGTTCATGGTGGGGGTTTTATCATCAATACAAGCTTTATGATAAAAATATGTTAGAGTTCCTAATGCCTGATTGACATTGGGAACAGGCTCGCCATTTTTTTAGACCAGTAAGTAGTTTGAAGGATATTTTTGTTTCCCTTTTTAATGCAAACATTAAAGTGTGCATAGTAAAGAAAAACATAGTTCATTGGTTAAAAGTCCGTTCGCCAACAAATCCGAATCTCTATTATGTTATACGTTGACAGCACTGAATTTGTTATGAAATACTTATACTTTAATTGCTTTCAAAAAATCTGTGGATATCTTCACGGAGATATTTAACCTGTAAGATAATCTTGGAAGAATTGAAAAATTGAAAATACCTCAGCAATGGGCTGTTATTAAAGTAGGGTAGATGTAAGCAACGTTATTTCAAATAGCACCTTTTTTACTTCTAGATTGTTTTGATCTACATATTTTTTTTTATTTTCTTCATTTTAAAGCACCCTCCATAATAAAAAAACAAACTCTTCGTGTAGTTTATGCGGAACTTACACTTGCGAAAATTTCATCTATCTTTTTTGTTAGCTAACTTCGTCGCAAGAAAATGTTCGACAAAGTTTTGGAGAAAAAAATCTGTGAATATCTCAACAGAGATATTTAATCTTAAAGACAATTTTGAAACAATTGAATGATTTTCAAGCCATGCGAAAAATAATCCCTCAACAATGAGCTGTTATTGAAGTAGAGTAAATGTGAGCATCACTATTTCAAGAACTGGATTTTTTCACCTCTAGATTATTGTAATCTTCATATTTTTGTAATCTACATATTTTTGTAGTCGCCCTTTTTTCATTTTAAAGCACCCCTCATGATAAAAAACAAACTCTTCATGTAGTTTATGTGGAACTTTTGTAAAAGCAGCTATTGACAATCCAGCCCCCTCCAATCACCACGAACGTTACAATGGCAGATGAAAGTATCGAAGTCAGTCTTCGGCGTAGACTAAAACACCCTACACTGTGGTACCGCTGGCATATAGTACGCACCGGAGAATAGCTTTTTGGGTACTGTTCTCCAACCGAACACCAACGCTTTGTCGAACGGTTCCTCGTCACACCCGGTACACACGTTCATTACCGCCATCACTTCGGCCTCCGCCGGTTCCCTCTCGTCATTTTGCTTTTGCTGGCGCAGGATCGGCTGATTGTCACCTATCCCTGCCAAACCGTCAAGCAGACTCTGCTGATAAATCCCAGCACCGCTGCCCCCTATCAACCCATCGTCCACAATGGTACCACCAGCGACGAACAGTTCCCGTTTCTTATGCTTGCTGCTGGTGGGGGACGACTCCTGGATTTCTCTTTTGAAGAGGGCGTGGCCGAAGGTGTTGTCGATGTACTGGACGTTTGCTGGATTCGCCAAACTTGATCCAAAACTAACAGACTGAGTGACCGCGGACGGAGTGGGGATAAACTGAACGCTCTGCAACCCGGACTGCTGTATCTGCTGCACGCTCTTGCTGAGCTGCTGAGTAACCAAACCGCCGCTGAATTGCCCGTTGGCGAATTGAACGGCGTAGTTTTGGCCTTGGATGATTTCGGGCTGTTGTTGGGCACCGGCCAAATTGATCCGAGTTCCCCTGTTCAGTTGGCCGGCGGTCAGCAACGGATGGGGAGGCAGTGTGGGTCTGTTGTTGGGTGTCGTGGGGGCGGGGGTGGTGATCATATTGCCGTTGTGGTCATATTGGTGCGCGTGGTGATGTTTGTGGTCTTTGTGAGCTTTTCCCGCGGTCAACGCTACCGCGTACAGTTGCACCATGGTTATTTCTCCGAGCATGCCTCCGGAGCCTGTCAAAAATTTTGTATAGTGGTGCGAGGGAACGCGTGAAATGGGTTGTTATGGTATAGCATGTTTTTAAGTCTGATATCAATATGGGAATCAACCATTCGTGACGATTATCATGTCCCTGCCTTAGCAAATCAGTTTAATTAAGTTCTGTAGAAGCCAAAATATTGATTGGCGAAGCAGCAAGTTTCATTCATCAACAACCTACGCAGCAGGAATCCATAAGAGTTCTAAATTTATCCATCATTTTTCTTGAGAGACTTAAACAATTAAATCAAATTACCAAACTACTCATTACCTTTTGGGGCGTCCTCGCCTTCCAAGAAGCCGCCTCCCGGCTGGCGTTGCTCCTGACCAGATATGGAAATTCCCCCCGAAGGCACCACGTGCCCTACCAGCTGCAAATATAAGAACCGTTTCAAAATTCTTCCTAAATATTTGATTTCTAATACTAGTTTGACACTGACAATTTCTTCATGAATTAATACACCAAGTTGGTTGACAAACAGATTGGACGAGCGTAATACACCATTTTGATATCAAGTTCTCGTCAAACAAAATCAGAAAGTTCTTCGTGAATTTATTGACAAAATAGAATTTGTTTTAATTTTCGCCAATTTTTGCGTAAATTCAGTAATACTAACTATGTAAAATGAATCAAAACTAAAGGTTTTGTTATTAATTAATGTTACTAATATACGCATATCCCTGCCAATTTGTTTTTCCCTTGTGGAAATAATAGCATCAACTGTGTCAAAGATAAGGCGAGTTTACGTGAGTTTATGTAGTATTTGGGGCTCTTAAACGCTGAAGTTTATATACCTTATTTATGGAGTTTTGAAAATCTTATGCTTGTGAAGAAACTAAATCCAGTAAGAGCAAGCAAAGCATACCAGTTTAGTTTTACCTTAAAACTGTGAAGTGAAGTGAAGAAGGGTTCTGCCACCACTGATGTTTCACACATCTCTCAGACAAATTCCAAGCACGAAAAGGAAAAAAGCAGAATCAAAAGAATCAAATAAGAACTTCTCTAGTATTCTTGAAAGTGTTAGCCCAGCGGAAGACCCCACTGGATTTTTTTTTTGCTGTCAATACCGTCTGTGAAATACTGATTTAGTTAATCAATATAACAGTTTGCAATTTGTAGAACTGTTTGTGTTGAGTTAAGGGAAATAACAAATAATGCTACATGTAAATGACTCAGAAGACAAATCTTGGATATTATTTATCAAACCTAGGAACTAAATTGAACATAGACACAGACCTATGCAAATGTAATGGAGTGCAAATATAATTTTATACAAAATAGACATCACTTTTTGATTTTGAAATAAAACTTACTCAAAAAAACAAAATTTTTGCTTTTTTAAAAGATTAAAAGTTATCAAGTTTGGGGGTCAACTTCTATATATTAATAATGTTGGTCTAGTTAGAGCACTAAACAAAATATTGTCTATATCTATTAGGTCATTACAATTATCAGTCAACTATAGAGTGACAAAATATTTAAATGTTTTGCAATTTTTTTTTCAAATATGCGAAAATAATCTGGAATCAATGAATCAAAGAGCTTGCTTTTGACATCCTCGAAAACTGTTCAGGGTCTTTTTAAACTCTTGTCTAACCAATTTTAAGCACTCTATATTTTTATGTTCCGGCCAAGGCAACCCCCCCACATGGCAGCATTCCTTTACAATATATTCCATTAAAATATTCCTTTAAAATATACAAACATAACCTCAAAATACTATATATTGGCTGAACTGTTAAATGAAATTGACAAAGCTCCTTCCCAGTGTAAAGCCAGTGTGTTTAGTCAACGACTTCATGAAGAAATTCATCAATTGTCATTGTAAAATTAGTATAATTAAATTATTAAAAGAGCATCGTCGCTTCATTTACTTGACGATTCGAACCATCAACATAACCTAAACGTGACGGTTTCCCTTTAAACTAAACCATTTACGCTTCTTCCTCTCCTAGTTCGTCCATGTATCACATAATATACGTTACTTGTTGTCGAGGCGAGAGGGCCATTTAAATGGTGGTCACGTCACCGCACCCTGAGCCGAAATAAAATACACTCTATATCCCTCGCTTACCCTGTTATGGAATCCCCGGCCGACCCTTTCGGCGTTGACCCAAATTTGCCACTCCCCCGTCTTGCCGTTCCAGCTCTGGCAAGTGTGATACCATCTGTTTAGTCTCAGCGGATAGTTGAGGCGGTAAAATGTATGTCCCTCGACGCTCAAGCTGAAATAACTGGATCTCTCTGTGTTCGCGATCCACGAGTAGATCGCGCGAGGCTGTCCGTCGACTGGAAATACATTTGCGTATACATGGTTGCCTATTTCGTCATTTGTTGCGCAATGCGCACATCGTTGCATATTAAACTGAATTATTTTGCTGTTGTCAATTTCAGCTTTTCTTAGAATTTTATTATCCAAATGTTGAAATTGAAAGTGTTAACGGTTCAACCACCTTGGGCGCAAATTACCTGCGTAAGAAAATATGGGGTGATCATTGGAGTGATTGTAAAACTTTGACCAGAAACACAACGTAAATTCCTTTAGCTCCGGCAACTTCGTTTTATAGACGATGTACTGGAAGTACAGGTCTTGAGTGAAGCCCACCTTGTACAACTCGCAGCGGTCTTTTCCCTGCAGGTCTTGCGTCTGGTATCTGAAAACGAATCGCAAAATCACGAGGTATCAGATCCGGCGAACTAGGCGGCCAAAGTGCACTAAGTGCGTGTTCTGTTAGGTACAAAGTTTCACTTACAAATGGCTACCGAAATTGCCTAGGTACTCAAAATTCGGTGCCGCTCCTTTGTAGGATATGCGGGCGTTAGTCTGGGCGCTTGGAAACAAGTCGGTTGGCGCCAGTGGTTGCCACGTTTCGATGTCGTGGACTTCTGCGATAACCGCCGAAAATAAACATAACACTAGCAGATTTGAACAACGCATTTTCTTCCTTTCCCAACGCTATGTGTTTCTATAATAAGGCATCTGAAAGTGAATGATAATACTATTTACAAATACTATTAATGATAATACTATTTACATATCTTCTGGATTCCTGTTAATCAATCGAACTTGCTAATGTTTAGCCGATCATCCTGTTGGCTTCTTCAGAGCTTCACTGAAACTGTTATCAGCCAACATGGCAAAACGTCAGCAAATTCTATTGATCAACAACCGCTGTATTTTCAATGGTTTAAAATTGTGCATATAGATGCACAATGCCCTGAAACTACCACAATTAAATTATCATGAAATGAACCTAATACAGCACTAAAGAAGAGATGCTTTCATTTAAAATGTAAATGTTGGAAGTAGAAGTTCTAAATTGGGACGCCCTGTAGGCAATACAAGTGAATTGCGGAGAAACTTATTTGAAACCCCACAACTTCTGTATAACTCTTCTGTTTGCAAAATTTGAAATAAATGTGGAGGGCAGAACTATTAAAATTAAAAAAAATCAACATTACCGATACAATCCCACTGAGAAACTGTGCATCATGTCTAGTTACCATCATCTTTGCAAACGATGCTAGAGTGGTTAGTCAGAGTCTTAATTCAAAATTAAGTATTAAGGAAAAGATTTTAAATTTACTAAAACATTATTTATTAAACAGAAAGCAACGGCAGAATGATGGAGTGCGCAGTAACGAAAATGATATTAAAGATAGAGTGCTACAAGGGACGGTTCTTGGCCCCCTACTTTTTATATATATATATATATATATATATATATATATATATATATATATATATATATATATATATATATATATATATATATATATATATATATATATATATATATATATATATATATATAAATAACATATGACATATGAAAAGGGTGAAATACAGAAGTACTAATTCCATGAAATACCTTGTCCTCTCAAAGTTTATTTATCTGCAGAGAAAACACTCAAAAATTCTTTACCTGTGTCTAATAAAAAGCCAGTTAAATACGGAATTTTAGGGTGGGTAACAGTCTCTAATAACTACTTAAAATTTCTAAAAATTCCTCCATTAAAATTAACCATACCAATCTTATCCAACAAATAGTCTTTCTGAAGAAAGTTGGCTACACGATTTGGACAACCATACCATTTTAAAATACCAAAATGTATCGAAAAATGCAAGTACGAAATAAACTTGAAACAATGAAAATGCATATCCTCTTCAAAAACAAATGGCCAAAAATTACTCCAATACTTGTGCAACATGCTGCCCACACGTATTCGAAAGATAGAGAAATTTAAACACACAACTTCGAAAAAGCTAGACATGTTTTTTAGCAATTGGGTTAAAATATCCAAGATAAAGAAAAAATAGTCCTCATAATTGATCATCGCAGTTAACTTTTTTATTTGAATAGATAGAAAAAAGTTTTTATATGAAAGTTTTAGAGTTCCTAAATTTTCGAAATTGAACAAAAAGAAAAAATTGTAAAAAATTGTTTGTTTTCGTTGTTTTTTTTCTAATGAGACACCATGTATATTAGGTTTATAACACATCTAGCTCCAAACTTATTAAAAACGATTGAATACAACGTTTTGCTCTCAAACAAAAAAAGAATAAGGATAATACCCTGTATTAGTGGGCACCTGTGCCGTCAAGACGCATATTCAAAAATATAGGAAACAACTTCAGAGAAAGAAAATCTTTAAACAAAAAACATACGGATAGTTCAAGTCGCCGAAAATGATGAGCTAGATATCCAACTTCTCTTTGACGGTATGAACAATATCTATTTATTTGTTTAAAAAATGGGTTTTGTATTAATTCATAGTAAATTCTGAGACATCCACGAAAACTACTAGAAATTTTGGAAGTCAAAAAATCATTCAACTCAAGATGATCCTGATATTTTGAATCATGCGGATTGTGTGTGCATGTTAGTAAGTCTGTGAACTTGAACTTTACGTCCATTTATTTTTTTATGATTTGTGAATGTTTTTTTGATGGACCTGTTTTTTTTTATTGTTTTTGTATTTCGTAAATCTTGTGCGATTTTGCATGAAGTGTATGTTTTTTTGTTGATCTCATAATTGCTAACAAATTTTTCATTTTTATCTTTAATTACTTCTATTATTGTATTATTATTATTGTAAATTAATTCGCAAAATGCGTTTTTTGAAATGTATCGGGTAACTTAGCTCTTAGTTAACTTTTGTAAACGGTATCTTTGTAGTTGTAGCGCTATAATAATAATCTACTTAAAACTCTTTATAATTTCTGATACTTAGTTTCTGATAGAAATAATAGAGGTCTGCTTAATAGAATAACTATTTTTTATTGAAACTCTGAAGTTAAAGTATAAATTTGAAGCTAAAATATCTTTCATAAAAATTCTGTTCTTATTTTAGAAACTTGGCAAATACATCCTTGTCCAATGGCGGAATTACCCTGAATTTCCGGTCATTTCACGTTCATTTCAGTGAGAAAAGGTGACCGAGAACCTCATTAAAAGGTCAAACAGAAGTTTAAGTTGGCTCTTTAAATAAAAGCAGGGTGCTCGTTTCCCTAAAATAAAACAATGAAATTAAATTTACACGTTTAAAATGTTTTAAATTATTTTTTAAAAAACGAAGAAAAATATGGTTAAGTCCAATCTATAGAGAAGCCATAAATAAAGCTAACGCTGCAATTTTACATTCTCGACTTAGTAATTATTAGATCTTATCTCTCCGCGTTGCACTTATCCAATTACTTTTATCGCTGCGAACCGACAACTTTCCAAATAAACCCAAGATCGAATTTTCGATCTCGACAAACTGGCGGATGCGCCGGCAATTGTAATCTGCAACGTTGTTTTTTTTTTAAAGCTGTGGTATTTAGACGGTAAGAGCGGTGATATGCTAATGGCACTTTCCTTTTCTGTTAATGTAACTTTTCAACCGTGACAATATGTTTTTTCATTCGCTTGAACGTGATTTAGATATTGCGATGCTTGCGCTAAAGTTTTTTCAGTTTGTTGATTCGTGCTTTGTGAAGTGTAAAGAAATTGAAGAATGGTGACTTCAATATACCTAAAAAAGTTGAAGAACTAACGGGACTACAAAAATTTTACGACAAAATAATAATAGATACTGAAGAACTGAGAACATGGACAAAATGTGCGGAAGAAATCTTCGAAGATCATAGATAAAATTTGACCGAGGAGATGAAATTCCTGAAATAACACAGAAACAAGTGTTACATGTACTGAATACACTGAAGAGAGGAAGAGAGGATTCACGTTGTGGTGGAAAATACCACAATAATGGCTGACATCAGCCCTTATAACGCTACGACGCTAGAAGACAAATGCTAAACAATGCCAGGCTACCGCACTATAAGCTTACTTACACTTAAGGCATTCTTAAAAGTAATACATCGTAGAATACATAGAAAACTAGAACAGGATATCAACCAAACACAATTTGGATTTAGAAACGGTCTCGGTACTCAGCACTATTCGCATTAAATGTTATATTCCGGGAATGCCTACACATGAACCAGGACATGTGTGTGTGCTTTGTTAACAGTTCGCCATGACCACCTCATAAAACTTTTACGAGAAAAAAGCCCAGAGTGTAGAGGTATTAACATTATTTCAAATTTCTACCATGGCCAGGGAGCGGTAATTCAGATAGAAGAAAAAACAAAAAAAGAAATAAAGAGAGGAATCCGGAGGGTATTTTGCAGTAGAGATCTTGGAACTGAAAATAGGACTTATGAGATGTTATGTTTTAGCAGTCTATCCATGGCATCTTGGAAGCTAAAGAACAACGATGTGAAGAAACTAGAAGGTTTGGGACTCTGGGTGTATCGCAGAAAATTACGAATTTCATGGTTACAGAGAATAACCAATGCTGGGGTGCTAAGACGAATGAAAAAAGAGAGGGAAATTGTAATGACAATAAAAAAAAGGGGGGAAAATACGTCAACTCATAACGCAAGGAAAAAATAAACATTAGTTCTACCTGTGCGGTGACTATGCTGATAATAGAGGAACTTATGAAGCAACTGTGAAAAACATTTTTAACCAACGACCTTGTCGCATATAAACATCAATATGGCCTTTGACAAATCGTCAATAAGTTGGCAACATTAACATTTTTTGTAACATTTAATTTATTTATTTATTTATTCATGAAAACATAAGCAAGTTATAAATATAATCCATAGATATCTGGTGATCATAAAAATAAATCAAAACGTTTGTGTGTACTCTCTAAATAGAAAATATAATTACAATTTATTGACTTAAGCCCATAAGAGAAACTCGAAACTCAACACTCAAAAGCAAAATAATAAATAAAGTGTGATTTAATTCCAACTATTTTCACATATTTTTTAATTAAGAAATACACTGTAGACCTTGGGACCAATAAATTCAAATAACAGCAATGGTGTAGAAAAAAAGTCCAATTTCTAAAAAGAGCGTTAGAGAGGAACAACATACAATCAAATCTGTCGCATGCTACAAGTGTACGGTGGCGGTTATCATCCTGCTTCAATCTATGAATCTACAAAACTATACAATTTACATTAGAGGCATTTTAAAACCAAATAGAGTTTAATTGATTACTTAATTAATTAATTAATGTGATGCGTGACAGTGTTTGTTTTTTTGAGTCAGCCCAAGAAAATTCTTATGGCAATAGTTTGTTAATTGGATGAACGTTATCGTTCAGTTTTTTTTCCTCGAGATGTCATTTGCAAAGTATACCATTAATTTGTATTTTCGTGAAAAAAAAATCTTCAAAAATGCAAAATATACAACTACGTTTCATAAGGCCTATCAAGATCATATTATTAAATGTTGCCCTTATTTCTTTTTTTTTTCATGTATTAAATTTTTTTCTACATTCCAATCCAAGAATTTTCATCTGCTTGAATAAATAAAGAACTTCAACTTAACGAATTTTTGAATAGTTCAGGGTAATTCAGGGTCACTTTTTCAAATTTCATCATTCACTCTTTGGTCGTACAAACTAACTACTACC